CCTATAGGATTATAGTGCCCCTGTAGGGTTCCAATACCTCTCCTTTGAGGGGAAGGGCAATGTTAATAGATCCCAATATAAATAATATACAGCCTTAAAACAAATAGTTGCTATTAAGACATTTACACTTTGGTCACAATATACATAGATGTTGAATTCAATTATTATCTACAATATAATCCATAGGTTTGTAAAAGCATTTACAGTTTCTGACAGTGAACAAAGAACTGGGAGTGAGTTATAGCATGATATACTGAGGAGGTATAAGGTGAGGATATAGAGTTATTATATCTTAAGTGTGAAAGAGAAATCTAAATAAGAAGGTTAGTAGCAGAATGGAAAGGAAGTAATTTTGGGTAGACAAGTAAGTGGGAAGACAGTAGAGTACATAAAACAAACACACATATGTATTAAGAAAAATTTAAAAAATGTTAAAATAGTAAAAATTGAAGGGAAAAAAGAATATACAATACAACTGTAATATATTATTTAATCGTCCCAGTCCTCAAAATCCAAATTCATGCAAAGTACTTGGTTTCACATATGTTGGGGATGTAAAGGCAGGAGAAAGAGAGGGAGAAGAAAAAGGAAAATATAATAATAATCTCCAAGGAAGAAACCAGGAATGTTTTGGTTGGAGATCAGGATCGTTCCTGCTTCCCTTCTCATCCAATAGGTGGGTCGTCTGTTGTTAGCTGGCATCTCCACCCTCAGGACAGTGAAGGAAACCAGGGTGGGAGGGTTGGTCCTGGGGAGAGGGTACCAGGGAGTGGGGTGTGGCACCCACAGGTCCCCAGAGGGAGACTGCACCTCAAGGATCTCTTTTTGGGCCCACTCATGTGATGTGAGCACCTGGACTTATCTCCTTATCTCTCCTGAAGACCTCCCAGTTCCTGGTTTCTATGTTAGTCTCTAAACTCTATCTCACTCACCCTCTCCCTTATTAGTTCCTAACAAGGGACCTTTCTCTCTGGGGGTCTTGTTTGGGGCACTTTGGGAACATTGTGCATCTACTGATAAGAGCTGTTTTGTGTTGAGCAGTCACTGTCCCCGGCTAGTAGCTGCCGGGGAGGAAGGGTGGAAACTGAGTACCTGGATGTGGATCCCTACATACAGCTGAAGCCCACCAAACAGCTGATGAGGGAGTGGCAACGAAGTCGAAAAGAGACCTCCAGAAATCAGTTTCAGAGAACTCAATTCCTTTTGTTATTGCAGAGGAAAGTTTTTATGCATAGTCTGTGACTTGGAAGATTCATCTGAGGGTCAAATGACCAAAGAGCTAGCAACATGCTTATGAGTGGCAACCAAAGGGCTCAATGGTCAATGGCAGAAAAGCAGAAGGAAAGGGACGTGCTGTGCATCTATGGGAGGCCAGATTCCCATGGTGATGGGGTTGAGTGCAGTTAGTGTGCTAACCACTGTATCTGGGTTCAGTGTGCTGGACCCTGAGAGTCCCTCCCATAGGCAACATAGCCGCTTTCCAACTCATGGGTCCAGAACCTGACCAGCCAGAGTTCCATACAGGGCATTGCGCCCACGAGATATGGTAATGAGGTGACCCAAATAAAGGTGGCTGCTTTCAGCAATGGGGTGTCGGGTCGGGTGGGGGGAACCAGGCAATGGCATTAGGCAATGTGTTCAAAGACGAGCTGGTTATCTTCAGGCCCTTGTGAAGTTCCCAGATGCAGGCAGGATACTGTGCATAGGAGACTATCTCCATTGTTGTGAAGTCCTAAGATGGAGGAAACCAGGCGAAAACCATGTGGTTAAATGAAGGTCCACACAGAAGTGGTGGCCAGAGTTCCTGAACATGGGAAGCTACCAGGAGTCCTGCATGGGAGCAGCATACTATATTTCTTCTCAGATAGGGGTCCAAAGGTTCTGCACTGGTGCTGATGCTGGTGGTCCCACTTGGGCACCCAGTAATCCTGCCCTGGCAAGTAGTTGGGAGATCTACTTTGAAATTGAGGTCTGGAGCCCTGCAAATGCACAGTGGCCATTACTTCTGTGAGGAAGCAGAACTATCACTCTCAGAGAAGCAGTACTCTCACTACTTGAGTCCCAGGTGAGAGAGCAACACAGAATGTTGCCTTCCTCTGGCCTGCCGTCTTGGATCCCCCCAAAGTTAATCCTTATAGCAGCTATGATGCTGACACACTTTGGAACTTCTCTCATCATTGCTCTGAAAATGGGAAAATGCTAGGGGATTTTATTCCTCTTTATTTTTAATATTTTGTGTTTTTTGGATTTGGAGCACATCTGAACAGTAGCCCTTCTCAGGTGTGAACACTTCAGAACAGCACGTGCTGCGCTCAGCTCCCTGGGGCCCTTGGCAGGGTCTTCAGACAGAGCCCACTCAGATCCAGCATCAGCCTGGAGCCCACATCTGATATGTGTCTGAACAGGAGCTGGAGTCACTGAGTCCTGGCTCTTCAGCACACAGCCCTCCCTGCCTTGGTGACCCAAACTGACACTCAGGCATCTGTCCCTTGTCCCTTCACAGAGCCCCACTTTATGGAAACAGCTTCTCTGGATGAAACCCCTGTGATGCTGTTCACTTTGCCACCTTGTTTCCTGTGGGGACTCTTAAGAACACAGGGAAAGGGCAGGTGCAGCACAGTGGTGGATGCCTGCTGAGCACACCTGAGGCCCTGGGTAGACTCTCAGTACGGGTGTGTGTGTGTGTGTATGTGTGTGCAAAAGAACAGGCAGAGCACCATCCTCTGTGGGGCATCTGCTCCTCTTCTCACTGGAGTTCTCCTGGCAGCTGCATAACAGGATGGAGACTGTTCTTGGGGTCCCCACTGCATTTGTTGTTAAACAATGAATGTGTGATTTTAGAAGGCGACAATAGCAGCCACAGATATCATTTATTGGGCACCTACTCCATTCCAGCACCGCCCCTTGCCTTCACCCTAGTCTTGCAGGGTAGTGCTTTTAAGAATTCTCTAATGGGCTGGGTTGTGGCTCAGCAGTAGAGAGCTCGCTTTGCACATGCGAGACCCTGGGTTCGAACCTCAGCATCACATAAAAATAAATAAGTGAAATAAAGATATTGTGTCCAACTACAACTAAACAATAAATATTTAAAAAGAATATTTTTAGAAGGAGACATTGAGGTTCAGCAGAAAAAGAACAGGTGTTACCTTGTACTCCTGTGTGGATGACAGGAGTCTGCTCTCTTCCCTCTCCCCCAGCCTGGGGCCCTTGGCCAGCCACTTCCCTCTCTGAGCCTTGTCCCATAATGGGTTCTCAAAGGACCCCCTCAAAAGGCAGGTGGTTATCAACAGCTGAGGGGCTCCAGGGGCTCAGGGCAGCATCAGGATGCTGGCCAGCTCCTGATAAGTGGCCACTGACTAGGGTCTCTAACTCCCCTAGGGACTTCCAGGATACCAGTGTCTCTGTGGCTCCATTTCTTCAGTGACACCTCCATATTGTGCACTCCAATGTTGGGCGCATGTCAGGCAGGGAGGTCAATATTTGCTGATACAAACCTTCATTATTTCTTCACCTGGTGACAGCTATAGAAGGTTCTGGGTGATGATGAGCAATCTGGAGACACCAAAGGACACATCTGAAACCTGGCCATAGGCATACAGCCTCCTGATAATTTTGTCTGAGTGCCCTCAGGACCTGCTCAGGGGCCTGAATCTGCATGTCTTGTAATTAGCCATCAGTTATGAACGTAGCCCTGTGGCTTCCTCTGCACTCAGTGACCTGTGACTCCAATGCAAAAGTGACCAGGGAAGCCCAGATTCAGAAAAGAACTCCTTCATCCTCTCCCTCTCAAATCCAGGCCTCGATAGATGAGGCCCATGGCATATTGTAGAAAGAGGAACAATTGGGGTGAATTCATAACCACCTGTGGAAGAGCCCTGCACAGAATAAAGTCCGGAAGAAAGAGGGACCTGGGTTTGTTTGTTTGTTGTTTGTTTGTTTTGTTTTGTTTGTTTATATTTTGGTTTTGGTTTTGGTACTGAGGATTGAAACCAGGGGCACTTTAATATTAACCTACATCCTCAGCCCTTTTTACTATATATTTTGAGGTGGTTCTCGTTATGTTTCCCAGTCTGGTCTGGACATTGCCGTCCTCCTGCCTCAGCCTCCCCAGTCTCTGGACAACACGCCCTACAGTTTGCTGAGATTCCAGGGGCAGCTCTGTGTGACCAAAGCCACCTGTGCTCAGTGTGGCCTGGGAGGAGATTTGCCAACCACCCCATCCCACAGATGAGGTGCTGGGCCAGGTCTCAGCATGGAGAGCTGGTTCCCATGTTGATGGTGGTTTCATGGTGACATTTGTCCCCTGCATTTGTTTCTAAAAATGACCATCCCTGGTGTCAAGCATTCCAGGTCAGGCCAGCAGGAAACAGTTGTTAACAAAGAGTGAGACAGGGCCGTGAGGTCCTACCTGGGCCCAGGTTGGTAGCAGTGCCCTGGTGCTGAGAGGAAGGCTCTGACCTCAGGCTGGAGCAGAACCTGGGCTAATGTTCCTCACTGTGTTGCTACATAGTTGGGCTCACCCAGAGACATGAGGGTAGGGACACCACACAGGGATCAGCTCAGCACCCAGAGAGCTTTATTTGGAGCGTTAAAAAAATTATGTCTTGTCATTTCTGGTGTAGCCCAGTGACAGAGCATGTGCTTAGCATCCACCTGGGGATGATTCCCAGCAAAACAACAAATAGTAATAATAATAATAATAATTACATGGAGAAAGATTCTTCACAGTGTCACTCGCTTGTGGTCAGAGGGTGTCTCCCAATCACCTGACTCGCCTGTCACTGCTCCACTGTAGCCAGACCTTCTCCTCCTGTGGTGTCGGGTCCTGTGACCAGGGCCACACCTGGGCAGATGGTGAGCTTCACCTGGGAGTCCCATGGCTTCTCCCCAACAACATCACCCTGAACTGGCTCAAAAATGGGAATGAGCTCTCGCACACCCAGACCAGCGTGGACCCCAGGGGAGAAACTGTGTCCTACAGTATGTCTAGCACAGCCCAGGTGACCCTGGCCCCTGGAGACATCCACTCTCAGGTCATCTGCCAGGTTTCCCATTTCACTTTGCAGGGGGAGCCTCCTCTTTGAGGTACTGCCAACTTGTCTGACACCATTCGAGGTACGGAACCCTTCTCCAGACTCCAGTCTACACCTGGCCACCCATCCTGTGGCTTCCCAGGGGCCTTTGCTCCAGGACTTTAGTGGTCTGGCTCTAATTCCCAGCAGTGCTGCCCACCTGCATGCATGTATGGTTTCATGCCTTGTGGCCAGCATGTGCTTGGTGGCTTCATTTCATTGACCAGCAGCTACTAACATAACTGAGCTCCTACCAGAGCTAACTTCATGCAGGCCAGGAGATATGCCAGTCAAACTCACTCACTTTTACCCTAAGAGGAGCTGATGGTCCCTTGACACCGGTGGGTGGCAGGCCCTGTGGTTACTGATTCATTCCCATGCAAACCCCCAGTGTCTGAGGCCCTGCTGCATGCCTGTCCCTGTCCCAAGGGAGGCCCTTGCCATGCTGGGAGGAGCTCAGCATCTGTCCCATAAGGTCACAATTTCTGCCTGTGCTTTTTCAGTTCCACCCACCGTGGAAGTCATTCCACTACTCAGCATGGCAGGGAACCAGGTGAACGTCACCTGCCAGGTGAAGCACTTCTACCCCCAGAGACTACAGCTGACCTGGGTGGAGAATGGAAACTTGTACAGGACAGAAGCAGGCTCGACCCTGTCAGAGAACAAGGACGGGACCTTCAACCTGA